GAAGGGCTAGAGGGAGGGAGGAAAGGAGGGAGGGAGGGGAAAATATTTTAAAAGATGCACCAGTACAATGGTTAGGATCCTGGCTTGCAGAAGAGACTAAAATATAGCAAAACTTAGAACCTTAAAGTCTTTGAAGACTAGTCAGTCATATATTATATACCATTCAGGTTTGTATGTTCTTTCAATGAATCATAAATAATCTATCGTGTTTAAATTTTTCATTAAGCTCATCAGTTTTGTGAAACGATTTGAAAGCATTGGAGACCCCAGCCACTCCTGTTAGCATACATCATGATCAGATTGTCATCTTGACTCTTCTTGCCCATAGGAGAACACCACCATCCTTTACACCTGCATGTGCATGGACAAGGTTTCACCTTGGAAATAAAGGAGACACTCTTTCTTTGAAAGAACTTCTATAATCGTGCATTTGTCCAGAAAATTTGCTGAGAAGTGAAGCCTCTTTATTGCCAGTTTTCTGCTTTAGCTATATTCTATGCTGAGTTATTTAATCAGATTCTTCTTGATCCCTTTTAATACGGCTTGTTTTGCATATTTCTGGAGGCCTTCAGTGACATGGTTAAAGTCATGGTGTCAGAGAGACAAGAACTCAGTCAGTGTTAAGTCCTTAAAACATTTGCGTGGGATGGGGGTGGGGAGACCTGCTTTGTTTTCTCAGCATCCTTGTCTGGGGTATTAACTTCTCATAGACCTTCTGTTACTTCAGTTTTATTTTTCTATAAGAGAAGCTATCAAAACAATGGTGAGCAGACGAGTCCCTTAATAGCTTATTTGGCTTGTGAGTTGAAGGTTAAAGGGGGAATTATCAGATTTGAAATATAGAATGAGAAACTGTTAAGGTCAACTCTCCCAAACCTGAAGCTGTCGTTAGAGATTGGTTTGGGGGGACAGTTGCTTTATCTTAGTATCATTTTGTTGGAGGAGACATTGCTAGGCTGGTGAGATGGGGTAGAGGCGACAATACCAAGGCCTCAGCCAGCACCAGCCCAGGTCCTCAACTGAGGTTAACGCATAGAGGTGGTGAATGTGTCCAGAGGATATTCTGGGCACTAAATATAACTAAATGTGTCCTTAAAAGAACCAAAGTTTCTAAGAGTTTGACTCTTCTTTGTCAAAATTAGCTAAAATGTCTCATGTACTACACAGTAAAGCTTTTACCTATTTTAGCCAGTGCTGCCCAATAGACATTTGTGCAACAATAAACATGTCCCACCTATAAGGCAGCCACGGGCCACATGCAGCTTGAATACTTGAAATGTCACTAGTGTGACAGAGGAACTAAACATTTAATTTTTCATTAAATTTTAATTAATTTAAATTTAAATAAATAAATGTGGCTGGTGGCTACTCTAGCGTACAGCACAGCTCTACAGAATACTCATATGATTGAGATCAGAATGAAGTTGACCAAAAACGAGATTGGCACTTGTTGGGCTGGGAAGTCGTGTGTTGGTCCCACAGCAGGAGTCCCGCCTGCGGAAAATGTTGTGAGATTGCATCTCCTTTTCCTTCGGGCTGCAGATGACAGAATGGGCTCCCACAGCTCATACTTTGGGAACAACCAGCCCCGTCGATGCAGTGCTTAGATTTGCTTTCCTTTTCCCCATAGTATCATTGGGTTCATTTTTAATTCCTTGTTTTTTCTTTGATTTTCAGTTCCTTGACCATCAGTCTGTGACCTGCCCCTTCTCTTTGTGTAAGTATAATGGTTTCTTTACTTTTAAAAAAAGCGTCGATGTGGGAAATCTGGGTCTTTGTTGGCATGTTATCTGGTTGACTTTGTCGTGGTTTCCAGAACTTCTTCAGTATGCGTTAGATTGTTCTGTGTTTGGAGTCGATGCTGTTGGTGGTGGTAGTAGTTGCCATTCATGAGGGGGCTGAAAAGACGAGCGGCCCCAGTGACTGGACTTCTGTAAAGACTGCCTTTCACTCAGCTACAGCTGCTGTTTGCGAAAGTCGCTGATCCTCTGAACTATAGCTTACATTCTACAGCCAGATACCAGCAACAGTTGGGCATTTCCCCACTGTCAGTCAATGGGCAATTATGTATTCTTCAGTTATACACCCATCCCTAGGTTCAATGGTTTTAATTTCAACTTCTATATCAGAGCTCTCATTTATTGACAAAACTTCTAATATCCTTTTGTTAAGAAGGACAAGACTGAAGTACAAGACTTCACCACTTAGGTTAAAATTGTGTGTGAAATTGTGAAGTCCAGAGAAAAAAAAAGGTAGAGAGAGAACTCCAGGATTACACGCACGAGGAGGCTTATAAAAGGTACCATTCTGTTTTAGAAAAGATGCAAGTCATTTGGAGAGAAAAACAAACCAAAACAAAAATACTTGATTTTATATGAAAAGAGAGAATATTTATTATTTGGAGCCCAAACTAGCTGCACTGAATGGATTTGGATAAATCTTACCTTGAGCTGCTTGAAAGAGATTCTGAGGCATTGAATCTAAATAACCCAAGTCACTGCATGGGACCCCACCCGAGAGATGCTACAGGTAGTGGCATCGCCTAATGTGATAAATAATCATTTATTTACTTAAATAAATGATCCCTTCCAGCTGCTTCTCACCTTCCCATGAGCACAACTGGTTCCTTATTCACAACATCCTATCCTACTTCACTGACTCCGCACCCCCAGGTATTTCTTGTGTGTCATCATTTGCACAGAAAGGGGGTTCCCAGGGCTCTCACTTATGTGTGGCTTCCACTAATATTCTTAGAAGCTAGTTAAGTATATTTAGGGGAGCAGAATCCTCCAAAGGATGCCCAGGCAAAAGTCTAAAGTGACAGTTATTTGACAGCAAAAGGAGATTGATGAAACCCCCGGAAGACTGGTGCTGCGCGTAATGCATTTATGCAGCAGGGGTGGGTCCTCCCTGCCCCTGACAAGTCTTGTTGTTTCGCATCCTCGGTGTTGACAGAGTGGGTCTGTCAGTGCTTCGGAGGGTGTCAGTGTGCGTGCCTGTGGCTCCCACTTCTTGTCTCTGCGTCCCTGCCTCAGCTACCTCGCACTGCCTATTTCCAGTCCTCTGGCTGGCAAGTCATTTTTGTTACAGTTCTTTGTGTAAAAACAGTTCACATAATAGCCGAGTGTTAGACGAGGCATTAATCCTCCCAGCACCGGGATGAGTCAGCACAGTGCACTCCTGCCCGCGCGGCTCGGCTATTATGACGTCAGTGCTGTGGGGCGAGCCTCAGACAGGCGGTACAGCGGCCTGGAGACCTGTGTCACAGATTACAGAGCAAGAGGGAGACCTTTGAGATAAAAATGTAATTGAAAGGCTGTCTCTGGCTCATAGGAAAATGTGAAACTGATTCTATGCTTTGTCAACCATCAGTTGAGCAGCCTGTAGAGAGATCTTAGTTTTTTTAACCGGAAAGAAGGCTAGGAGAATGACCTGTAATGGGCTGATAGCTTCTTCATGTACCCACTAACCTTGTCCCACCCCTGGGCCAAGCTTTGTGCTCACTGGGATTGTTCCAAATCCTGAGGTTTGCCTTTATATCAAGGATGGCAGGGCCTGTGACAGCCCTGCTGTCCTCAAGTGCCCCACAGACACAGCTGATGCTCCAGAGGTGGTGCCCCAGATGCCCATCAAAGGGAAAAGAAAGGTCCCTTGGGAACAGATCAGAACATTATCTCCCCAGTGCTTCTAGCTCCCAGTGTCTCAATGGCCTCCTTCAGACACGTGCAGAATTCTGCCTGTTTGACCTTCTCTCCTTGGCACTGCATTTAGTCCAAAGACCCATTCTGGATTTGACACAGATTTCAATAGGAACTGAATAGCTTCAAGACATTCCCCCAAGAGTTTTTCATTTCATTATTACTTAGCTGAACCGAGGAGGAGCCCTCCATAATCTGCCACGCTGCCTTAAAGCAGGTATCACAGACTTGACCTATTTGGGAAACCAGTTCTTATAAGTTAGACCTCTTCACAGTTCAGACTCTCATCCATTCTCTGGACAGTACTTTTGGATATTGAAAACTTTTGGATATTGAAAAGCTGAAAATTCACTGATTCAGTGACATTCTCTTGTTAACAAGACATTCTTCTATCGCACCATTTACCCTCACTCTTACCCTCACCTTATGATAACCATCAGAAAGTACCTTACTTCTGGTATCTTCTACCTTCATTAGGTTGCTAAGAGGCTCCTATCATGCTTAGAGAAGCCAATACTACTGCTTGGTTTGGTTCTGATTAATTATCATGCACAGCTCTTTATTCAGTTTTTAGTGAACAAACATTTATGGAAAGCTAGTCACTATGCTTGGTACCTGGAACTCCAAGATAAATGAAATCTCACAGTCTGGTAAGGGAGATAAATAGTAAACAAAGGCTATCTCATGTGGTAGGAGCTGGAATGGAGGCATATCCAAGATGTAGGGAGGGTTATGAGAAAGGAATGCCTGCCTGCATGTGAAGAGGTGCCCAAGCTGGGCCTTAAAGTCCAAGGAATGAATCGCAGTTAACTAGGTAGATGTGGAGGAAGGGAAAGCAAAAGGGAATCATAGTCAGGAAAAGTCAAAGCATTTGCAAAGTCAGGAGGCATCGAGCAGCGGCCAGATCCAGAGGACAGTAGCTAGTGTGGCAGGAGCACGGTGGTTGGAAGAGGAGCCTGAGTGTTGAAGCTGAAGGTGGTAGGAGGCCAATCACAGAGGCCTGGTATGCTGTGCACAGGAAGGCGTTTGGACTTGATGCTGCAAGCTTGAGGAGGCTTTGAAGGATTTTAGCCAGATTTGTGTTTTAGAAAAAGAGCTCTCTGCCCTTGCTGGTGTGGTTCAGTTGGTTGGAGCGTTGTCCCATGCACGGAAAGGTAGTGGGTTCAGTTCCTGGTCAGGGCACGTTCCTAGGTTGCAGTTCAGTCCCAGTCAGGGAGCATATGGGAGGCAACTAATCCATGTCTCTCTCTCTCTCTTTCACTCTCTTTTTCCCCCTCTCTTCCCCTCTCTAAATCAATTAAAAAATAAATTTAAAAAAGGGAAAAGAGAGCTCTGGCAATAGTAGAGTTGGCTGACTGAAAATACAGAGACCGGGTCAAAGGTGAAGACCAAGAGCCTGAACCGTGCAGTGGGGGTGGGAGTGGAGAGGAGAGGCTGTCTGGTAGTGTTGACATAGACACTGGTATTGTATAATGCGAACATGTCCTGGCCCAATGCAAAGTCCTTGCCTTCTAGGAGAAAGGCTGATGTGTTGTGTGGCGCCAAACTTCAGATAAAAGTAAATCTTTATGGGGGCTTCACCAGAAACCTCCATTTGAATCTGATCTCACTCGGAGCCGCTGCCTACTGTCTCCAGAGATGTGTGTCTCCTTCTCCCATAGTGGACTCGAGGGTAGAGCAGGTAGATATGGAGAAGTCATTCCCAGTGCCCTGCTTTTCTCATCCTTCATCTGAAAATGAAACAGTTTCTTAGGACTGTCCCCCTAAAGTCAATCAGTGCCCCAATTTTCTATCATTTTCCCTTTGCTGCCTTTTTCTAAGCAGAAGTTTCAAGCCATTGAGCTGAATTCCAACTTATGCACAGCCGGGTGTTGAAACAATTCCGTATATTCATTCCTGCTTTCTGAATAGAGTTCACCATAAGTGTGCTTTTCTCTTGTTCACTTTGGGCTGCCAGGACAATTCAAAGGAAATTTTCAACAGCTTATGTTTCATGTACCACGTTCTCTTTTGCAAATGGGAGTGTATGTGTGGGTGTGTTTAAGTCTTCTCTATATTGCTTGCTGGAGAAAGGGTTGAGGAGATGAACAAGACAAGGAACGGGGACCTCCTGAAAGCCCAGGTCCCTCCAGTGACCTGAGTGCAGAATGTAGGCTGGTGATCAGATGGTCAATTATGTGTTTGTCAAAACACAGTGGGCCGCATTCCAGACTGCCAGCTTTGGAAGCCCAGCTTCTGCCAACCAAATGTCATCTGGGAACATGCAACACTGGGCACTGTGAAGGAGTTTGAAATAGACCATGCCACAGCCAACCTACTGCCAGTCTTATAGCACCAATATGGCATGCACAGCCGGGCCCCATGTTTCAGAGCTCAGGAATTCACTGCACTAAATTCAGGAGGTCAGATGGGTTCATGTTTTCAAAGCCTATGTTCTCTGCTTTGAACATTGTGACTTGCTCCTCAGCAATTTCCAAGGGATTTTTCCAGTCACATCTCTGTGGAAACCACTCTTTTTGTGATGGTTATGAGAGCCTTGTAAACGTCCCAGAGCAGAGGGAAAAAATCAACTTGCTCTGACAATGACTATGATTCTGACAGAGGGATTCCAACTCTCAGGAAATTACATTAAAGGTGCATAGCTTTGAAAATATCAGGAAGCACCTTGGCAACTTATAAAAAGCAGAAGGGCTTTGCCTATTTTATAAAGTGATTTGCATATACCTGCATAAATAATGTCCCCACCTGTACTTTTATGCATTTAGGTTGAATAAATTACATTCAGTGATCTTTAAAATATTCACTGTCTTTCATTACTCAGATACCATTTTCAAGACCCCTCCTTATTTTTGTCTTGTGGTAGTAGTGGCTTTTTTTTTTTTTAATATGTCAGCTAATTTAGAGAATCCAAACACTCTGCAGACCAGTCTACCACAGCCAGGAGCATCGCCTTCCTCTGCTCACATTTCTTGCAGCCTTTCTACCCAAGACCATGAGTTCCATGTGCTTTTCATAAAGA